ACTACATTTATAAAGTTATATAATATTAACTGTTGTCTACATAGTATATCTTCATTTATTATTGGAAGTATGTTTGTTTCTGGCTTGAAGAAAGCAAAATAAAAAGCTCAAGCCACCAAGTCATAGTCCCATGAAAAAAATGGCTTAGAGATATTAAACAACTTGGCAGTTCTAACATGATGTTGGGTAGCACGGAGTCACTGATGCCAACTCATAGTGTCCCTAGAGGAAAAGGGCTACCTTATAGGGTTTCCTAGGCTAAATTTTTATGGGAACAGATCTCCAGGTCTTTTTTTCCTATAGAGCTGCTAAGCACTTAACCACTGCACATCAGTGTCTAGTTCACACACAAGTCTGTCTGACTCTAGAGCCAAATTCTATGTTCTCTTCTCTTCAGCAGCCAGGACCCCAGAATCAATAAAAGATAAGTGGGTTCAGCTCTAATTGAGTCATAAAAAGTCAAGCTCCCTAGAGGTAGATAATGTATATAGTAGGGTAACTTAACATTTTAGGAAATAAATACTTGTCATTTGGTGGAAGATCTATCAACAATCTGTATTATGCAGATGACACAACCCCGCTTGCTGAAACTGAGGAGGACCTGAAGCGCTTGCTGCAGAGGGTCAAGGACTGCAGCCTTCAATATGGATTGAGGTTCAATGTCAAGAAGACAAAAATTCTCACCACTGGATCAATTGGCAGCATCAGGATGGATGGTGAAGAGACTGAGATTGTTCACAGCTTTAGTTTGCTTGGCTCCAAAGTCAACACTCTTGGCACCAATAGCCAGGAAATTAAAAGACATATTGCCCTGGGAAAGTCTGCTGTTAGGGACCTCTCCAAAGTACTGAAGAGCAATGGTGTCTCTCTGGAGACTAAGGTGCGTCTGATATAGGCCATGGTCTTTGCTATCACTTGTTATGCATCAGAGAGTTGGACAATGACTAAGTAGGATAGAAGGAGAATTGATGCCTTTGAGCTGTGGTGCTGGAGAAGAGTATTGAGGTTACCACGGACTGCTAGGAAAACAAACAGATTCATCCTGGAAAGGGTTAAACCGGGTGGCTCCTTGGAGGCAAGGATTCTGAGGCTCCATCTAACATACTTTGGACATGTTGTAAGGAGGGATTGGTCCTTGGAGAGGGCCATCATGCTTGGTAGGGTGGAGGGACAGCGCAGGAGGGGAAGGCCCTCTGTGAGGTGGACTGATTCAGTGACTGGGGTAATCGGGATGGGTGTATCGGAGACAGTGCAATTGGCACAGGAAAGAGCAGAGTTTAGGGTTGTTGTACATAAGGTCACTATGAGTCGTAAGCAACTCAACAGCACATAATAACAACAACAACAATATAAATACAGCCATTTAGCTTGCTGTTAATTCCATCAACACAAAAAAAGCCTGGTTTCTCTGTTAGAGTATAGAAAAAATGTAGATCAAGAGGAAATTTAATCTGGATGCAAGGGCAATCTTCCCTTTTCTGATGGCTAATTCTTAAGAGACGTAGGTAAGGGAAGCAATATACATATTCTCTAACTTGTCCAAACATGGAAGAGGTGTGGACATTATTAGCATTCCTCCATTGGTGTTTCTCCAAGCCTTACAATTTTTTACTGCTGCCACAATCTGTAGTAGTAATGTGATATCACAGAATTTTTTTTTCTTGAGCTTCACCAAACCTATCATTATCCACTCACCTCTATTACATTCATACCTATATGGTCAAAGACTAAAATTCTATTAAATATTAATTTTTCTGGAACCAGTGGAATTTTCAATAAGCAATCTGGTCAGGACTGAAGATTATTTAAAAATCTAGACTCTAGAAAGCACTGTTTGCAATAACTGTAGGGACTGACAAAAACTGAACATGCAAAGAAGCTAAAAGCAGAAGTATCACACTAAAAGTGCTTTATCTTAAGTGTTTTTGTAGGTGTGGGAGGTGAGACAGGTTTCAATATTAAGATTCACCTGACCCAAGTAATAATAATTTCAACTACTTCATATACATGTGAAAGCTGGACAATTAATAAGGAAAACCAAAGGAAGAACTGTTGTCTTAGAACTGTGGCATTGGCAAAGATTACCAACTCTACTATGGACTGCCAAAAGAACAAACAAATCTCTCTTTGAGGTAGTGCAACAACAGTGCTCCTCAGAGGCAAGAGTGATGAAATGTCATCTTACATACTTCAGGCATGTTGCCAGGATGCACCAATCTTTGGAAAAAAGCATCATGGTAAAAAAAAAAGAGGAGCACCATTAAGGAGCCGGATTGCTGCAGCGACTAATAACAGGCTCAATGGAGCAGGGATGAGAATACGACAATGGCACTGTAGAACACCAGTAGCCATAGAGTTGTTGAGTGGGAGTCAACTCTATGGCACCCAGCAACGCCACCACCACTATACACAAATTTAGATTCTTTATAGAAAAGTCTGTATTAGACAATATAAAAATTTCAAATAATATATCAAAAATAACCTAAGTTCATAAGAAATATCATAACAGATGAGATGAATATTCCAGTTACATTAGCAGTCCATCTCATTATTGCCAGAGGAATTATTATTGGCTTAGGAAAAACAACATTTTCCTCCAGGATGTCAGTCTCCCACAAATAACACATTTTACCTCAACTGATTCTTGCATAATCCTCTCTCCTAACCTTATTTCCCTTCTATGCACAAAACTCTAGCATAATAACCTCTCCTAATCTTATTCACTATTTATGTACAAAATCCTATCCTTTTCCTTGAACTACTGTGGGAGACAGCTACTGTAACATAAAAACACAATGTGTGTACCTGTATACACACATATGTGGGTAATAACTGAGCACTGCTTTTGGCTGGAAGTATGTAGATTTGCACTGAGACGGAGAACTCAAAACAATTAAAAAATTATTTAGTATAAACTAGATGAAAAGTAATTCTTTAAAAACTAGTTGAACAAAAAAATAAATGTGCAGGTTATCCTTTTCAACTGATGGACTGCAGTTAGGAACATCAGTCCTATCCCTCCCTGTTCATGGTGCTCAAAGTTCTTTGGCACAAATCCACTACTGAAACCTTTTGAAGTTTTCTTTTCTTTTAGCAATGTCTTCCCTGAACTAATTAGTCCTTGGGAGCAATTCCTTATTGAAAAAGAGTAAAGAATGAAGAAAATAGCATTTCTGTTTGTTAGTGTTTTCATTTCAAACAAAAGTTTCAGAAGGAACTGGAGAAGATATAGACAACATATATTTTGACCTTTGTTGTTATCGCTTCTTAGGGTAAAAAAGACTAATAAGATGTCTGTTTTATTGTACAAAATCTATCTTACCTATATTTTAGCAGCAATTCTGCGATTTCTCAACATGTCTACTAAGAGTATTTCCATCTAATTGCAATCTCTTTGGCTTTTACATTTGTCTCAAGAAGCCAATGTTGCTGCCTATTGACATTTTCTCATTATATTTTTTCTTTTAAATGTTCTATTTACAAACTGTTCAAGATATATACATATTATGATTATACATAGGGATAAAATAACACTTCTCTCTCGTAAAAATGTTCAATAATTTCTTGACCTTTTCTAATTGGAAAAGCTACTGCCTAATCCTAGTAAAATTTATTTCTATTTAAGTCTACATTATTCCTTTCAGAATTTTGTTTGGTTTGTTTTGATTTTGTTGAAAAGAGGGCTGTCATTAAATAAAGTAAATGAAAGTCTCTAAAATAACTAAGTTCTTTTATTAATGGAAAAGGTAATATGCAAACTAGCAAGCTGCTTTAAACAAGGCCTCAAACTAAAACTAAATTCTAAAATATACTCCAGGAAGCAAGATTATAAAATGATATTTTCATATGTCTTTATACTTACAGGTAAATGAGTGAACACTTGAAAGATGCTTCTCAGAAAATTAATAAGATCCATTAAGTAGCCACTAGCTCTTCCATCTGGCTCAGACATTGTCCAGTCATAATCAGCAAGCTGAACAAATTCATCAATTTTCTGATTCAGTTTGGTATATATTTCTCCTTCTGCTGCATGTCGAGCATCCTAACAAAGGGTGAAATAAGAGCAAAAATAAAAATAAACATGGAAGCAGGTAATAGGCTAATTTTACTGATTATTAGAGATACTTTAAAAGGGATGAAAGAAACTAAAATATGTTCTCTGACCATAAGAGAATAAAATAAAAAGTAAGTAACAGAAAAAAATCCAAGAAATTAACAAATACGTGGATATTAAAAATACACTCCTAAATAATCAAAGAAGAAATCACAAGTGAAATTAGAAAATACTTTGAAATGAAGGAAAATTGTAAAACACATTAAAAAAAGACACATACCAAAGTTTATATGATACAATAAAAGCAGTGCTTAGAGGTAAGCTTAAATGTCTAGATTGTAAAGATGGGCAAGACAGGATAAAGTTTCAATCTGTTGTTCACAGGGTTGCTGTGAGTTGGAGTAGACTAGATGGTACCTAATAATGAAGACAACAATATGCTTCAATTTGTAAAAGAAGAAATCTCTCAAATCAAGAATTAAAACTTCAACAACAAAAAAAAGAAATGGTTCTCACTCACAAGGCAGCAACAGTGATACTGGGTTACTGCACACTAGGTATTGTAGCCTTGAACAGTAAAGCAAGAAAACGTCAACCCCTATGCTTCTTTTTGAAGAGTTCACTTAGACTTGGATGGTCAGCATCTTTGAAGTGGAAATGAAAAAGACCTCTACATTTCCTGTTGCTTATCTTGCACTGAGTAAACCTTGGAGTCTTGGTACTACATAAAAGACGGACTACTTGAAACTCTGGTTTGGAGAGCTTGAGAACTAGATTTCAATTGATTGAGATGGCCTTGTGTCATTTCTGTCAAAGTAATGACTTTTACTATGACTAAGAAAAGCTCTAGGAATCACTGTCACTATTCATTACACTGCCTATTATAATTTATCCAGTAAGTAATTTATATAATGCACATACAGACAAGTTTTGTGAAACTTAAAGACTAAGATAGACAAGATTCCAAAGTAAAGTATAACAGTGAAAAGTTAAAAACCTGGAAATACAAAAGAGCTGTGAAATATAGTATTTCTCAAGGTGAAAGACCTGAAGAAAGATTCAATTGTACCATGCAATATTAAAGGATTCTATGACCAAGATATAGAATGATGTAGGAAGCATTAAGGGAAAATGATAGAAAATACACAATCATTTATCAAAAAGAACTGGCTGACATTGAGCCATTTTGTTGTTATTGTTGGGTGCTGCTGAGTCAAGTATGACTCATAGTGACCCTTATAAACAAAGGATCTGAACCCTGTTCTATCCTGGCCAATCAATCGGAAGAGCTACATGAATATGCCCATTCCAGAAAAGTGATGCAACAGAATGCAGAAATTATCAATCTAATTAATATTATGCACAAGTAAAGTTTTGCGGAAGATAATTCAAAATGGAATTTCTGAAAGCAATGTAGGACAATTAAAATATCAATAAAAAGTTGAGGTAGTGGAAGGGACCAAATATTTAGAAATTTGAAGTGACAATGAAAAACAACACAGTGTTTTTACCTGAAGGAAGAAAAAAAATAATAAAAATTATAAACTCAAAAGTATTCATTTTATTGTCAAATAAACTATATGCTTTCATGTTCAGTAATAAAGTAATAAAATGCTTCAGAAGATACAAATTTTGTGAAAAGGGACTAATAAAAGCAAATTTGTGCTTTAATAAACATTTTTTAGATTTTAATCTTCAACTTGGTTGATTAGTCTACTTTTCTGGGGTGACACTAAGAATAGGTTCTACTTTCCCCAACATCTATCTAAATTGATAAGAAATTTTTAATCTACTTTTATTGTTACACACCACAGAGTCAGAAGCCATTAGGTTCCCATCTTTCTCCCACTGAAAAGATGGTGGATTTGAACTATGGGTGGTGCAACTGTGCTCAGTATATTTTCCAATGTGTATTAATGCTTTCCACAGCTATAATAAGAAATCTAAGCCAGAGAATCTGTGGCTATATAGGCAATGGAAAAATTTTAGACAAGCGTTTTCAAGACTTAAGCATGTTTTAAAGTAAACATTAGAAAGAATTATTCCAAGAATTAAGGATTCTGTTTATTTTATAATCCACATAAATATAAGTATTAGAAAACATCTGTGCCTTTGATCCTTTATGGACACATACACTGACTTATATTTTGGTTTTAAAGGAATAAAAACAAAGAGAAGAGGTAAGGGAAGAAAGAAAAGATAGAAATATCTGTCACTATCATTTTCCCTATATGTAATACGTATATACGATACTTATATACAAAATTATATGGTAAGACATTTCTAATAGAACACAAATTTTTATTTAGAAGGTGCTAAGAAAATGTCGTTTTTACTTCCTGGGGAGTTCTAGAGATGAACTCCAAAGACTTTAGTCCTTGAAAACCTACTGGAAATTCAGGAATATACCAACTCACTCCTAAATTATATTTTAAATGATTCTGCAGCAACGCATATAAATTCTTTTCTTGCTAAAGAAACAGTGCCCTCTGGAGGTAGAAATGTCACTAGCATAATTTGAGAACTTTTTATTTCGGTGTATAAAGATTAAATTATAAATTATCAACCACAGAGGACGCTCTGGTAACCTAATCTGTAGGGAGTGGTACCGCTGAACCAGATAGTGGTTCAAATCCTAGGAAGAATGATGGGCAATTTCCTCACATGCAATTTGGAGTCTCAGAAAGCCAATAAAAGGTCAGCTATGAGTGAATTCTGGCTTGACAGCAATACTTGAGTCATCAACCATGGATGTGGAAGAGAAGCACTTGAGAAACTTTGTAACACACACATGCAAAGTCTCCCGTAGAGGTACTGGATCACAATGATGCACATTTAAATTAAAAGTTTAGTAGCAATACGTAAGTATTTTAGTAAGCCTCCATACTGACTACCATCAATTCCACCTGTTTTTCAGAACACTATGCAAATATATTCTGGAAAATTCCATTTATGGCTATGAAAGACTGAACATATGTTTTGCTTCAATGATGGATCCTAGTAAGTTTAAGCCAGTTACCAATTTCAATCTTCTTACCCAAAGAGATTTCCATAGGAACTAATAGAAACATTCTTTCTTCCTTTCAATGATAAGATGTGAGAAATGGGACTGTGATTTGGCAGTACAACTGCTATCAGAAGGGAATTCTGGTGGTCTGCTGGTAAGAAACTGCAGAGCAATCCTGAAAGAAAGAAGTTCAAATGCACCACCTGCTCTATGAAAGAAGAATGGGTAATCTTCTCCCGTGTAATTAACTATTTCTTAAAACCTGGTGGAGGGTCACCTATTGGTTGGTTCCAACTGGACAGCACACAACAATAGCAGCAGCTATGAGGAGGAGAGGATCTGGGCGTTCTGAGTCACCATATGTAGTTGAAACCAAAGCTGAAAAACTTCAGGCTACCTACTTAGAAGTAGCTGGCCCAAGTCTCACTTGAAATTTATACTGTGTATGGACTTCTTACTTGTATTGGTCAATAATTTATTACTATTGTTTAAGACAGTTTGACTTGAGTTTTGTCAGTTATCCTAATAAAAAAAAGTATTTATTTATCTGAAACATTTTATTCAACATTCTGGGCAGGTGGAAGAAGAAACACAGTTCTATGGAATTTTTCAAATATCGTTGGCGCCACAACAATTGGTACGTGAAAGGCTAGGAGGTTCAAAACCAAGGTGAGTAAAATCCTGGTGATCTGCATCTGTAAAGATCACAGCCAAGAAAATCCTATGTATGTATCGGATGGTATGAAAATGTAGACATTGTCTCTGGCTTGTCTGTTCTTGCTCTTTGAGGGTTTATTTTCTAAAGCTGAAAATCGTGGAGAATTGACAGGGGTGGGAGGAGATGGAGTACTGAGATTACTGGATGGGCGGGTAAGATGAAAAGATCTGATGAGATAATATAATCAAAGGCACTAATTAATGTGACTAAACAACATACATATGAATGAAAATAAGAGTTGTACACAAAATTTCAATGATCTTTATACAGGAATTTCTAATGTTAGTTACATTGATTACAGGATCCAACGCCATTGATTAGTACAAGGGCAAAGCCTATAGACAGAGAAACAGCACGTTAAGATTAATCAATGAAACCTAGCAACTGCAGATGATGGGAAAAGGGGCTACAGGAGTTAAACATACATCTAAAGTAACTTAAGGGTTTTTTTAAAAAAAATCTATAAGTAATGGGTTTTTTTAAAATGAGATGGGTAGAGAGGAGTCAATTTAAGACATTAGTTTAAAAAATACATACACACACACACACACACACACACACACACACAATCAACATTACATGAAAGTAGGAATCAAGAACTCAAACATCAAACCTATTAAACTGGGCAAATTTTCTGCAAATAACATCTTCGAAGAGTTAAAGAACAATGCCATCTTAAGGACAAAGCGAGCCTGATCAAAGTCATGGCCTTAAGGAGCTTCACTGTCCACCCAAAGGCACATGGTTCGAATCTACCAGCCACAGGAGAAAATGATCAATGAACTCCCAAGTTATTTACTGACTCTGAAAACTTGTAAGAGGGACAGTTATGAGTTAGTTACAACTTGATGACACATAATAACAAAGGAAAACAGAGCAAAGAAGAATTGATGCCTCTGAATTGTGGTGGTGGTGGTGGAGGAGGAAAAGTGGCTAGAGTTTGGCTGAGGCACTTTGGACATGCTATCTGAAGGGGCCAATTCCTAGAGGTTCTGGAGATAGACTGACACTACAGCAGCAGAAATGGGCTCAAGAGTGGATAGATAATGAACAATGCATTGGAACAGATGAGAGGAAGAATGTCTGAAAGGACCATATGATGATATATATGTGTAACAATCTAGAACAAGAGGTAGGTGTATTGCTAAGCAGACTAAGGGAAGAGAAATGGAGGGCAAAGAAGGAAAATGTGCAACAATGAATGCTGCTGTTGTTGTTTTGTGCTGTTGAGTGGACTATAACTCATAGCGACCCTATGTAGAA